ACTGTGACACTCTTTTGAATCAAACCATGTCTACCCTCAACTAATTGTCGTCAGTTTCGTTAACTTAGCCGAATTGTTTGATTTCATCCACTGTGAGTCTTTGTGGCTGATAATGGAACTACTGTAAAAAGGACTTACTGCGTCCCACCATTTTTTTGAGTTGTACTTAAAAACAATTTCGCAGTCTTTACAATCGACCTGGATTTTTACAAGATCATGTTCTGCGTCATTGATTAGATTCTCGAAGCAGCCGCACAGAGTTTGAACTATGTTAAATTTGCACCTGGACGCCGGTTGACTAATCTCGATTATGCTGATGACGTCGCCCTTCTGTGATCATATTTTGATTGACACCAGTCGGTGATGTCCTCAAAGACTAGTGTTACTAATTTGGTCAATTTTTAGCGAACCCCGAAAAGACCAAAGTGTTTTAGAACTTGGCTCCGGACTAGGAAAGGGCAATTTTTAGGATCAGTTTCTGTCACCTTTACAAGTGGCCTCTTTGAAGTACGTCGTAGTGTGACTGCTATCGATTAAACAGAGTTAAGACGGTGTCGTCTCCTGAATTGGCACTGTTTGCAAGACTTGTTCTATCACTATAAGTTGTGTGTACCCGACGCATTTAAGTCTCTAACATGGTGGTGAGCGAAAACTGAAGATTTCTGGCCGGTTTTTCTTGAGAACCATCCTTCGCGTCAACAATGTTAACGTAATTTTGAATGAGAGTACGCACGCGGCATGACATCCTTGTGAGGTTATCTCAGATCGCATATGTTCTTCGTTCACCTCATAACCTCGGTGTTGTTGTCCTCAGTTCTGCTCTAAAAATTTAAACTCAGTCGACACAATCCGTCAGTTCTCGAACATTCGGTATTCGGTCTCCCCCACTGGATAAAGTGGATTCAACAGGAGCTCGTCACTCATGGAAAGGCACAACCTACCCCGTAATCGAGAGCAACTATATCACACATGATCACATTCGTACCACGTATAAGCACAATTGGTACACTGTTCAGAGCTTTAAGCCCTATTCTTAAGTCTGCTGGTAGAGTCGGTCGTACATCAACAATAGATTAGGCTTGTCATTAAATAGAGCACATTATTACAACGACAGCTGTTTAAGGCCTCTGGTCGTCGTTGAATGCCATAAATGGCGCGAACTCATGCCAGCGTACCGAAGAGCCACTACTTATTCGCGGCATTTTCCAACTGTGTCAACCTTTCCCGTCTACATTAAAGCATTTGAGTATCTTTAGAATATCCATAATGTTTCTTAGTCATAAAAGGCTATTGAAAATTATAACCTACACAACCACAACAAGTGCACTGCTAGTCGGCATCGAACTAATAGTTTCGGGTTCATGTCGAGTGCGTGACCTCGAACTTACAACGGATTGGCCGCAAATTTCGTCACTTACTAACAGTTCTTAATTCCTGCCACACGACGCGAGCCAGTCGTCTAGGCCTAGCAATTTTTTTCTACCCGGAGGTGAGGCACACCTCGTCTTTGCGGGAGGAAAACTGTCAAATTCGTTGCTGTGTTAAAAGGGCGCACATATTTAGGATGTGGCCAGCTCATTCCAGTCTGGCGACTGGCGCTTTCGGATTGTGTGAATTTTCGTATTTTCTCATAGGCTAAAATATTAGGAAAAATGTGTCTAACGTCTGAAACGTCACAACCTTTACCAGGCTATACCACAGTAAAGTGAATTCTAACATTTTGTCACTTCATCTCGTATATTCGGTCGTTCTCTTTATAAATATAAATTCTTTAAAACCTACTCCTCCTGTTGGTAAATCATAAACTTGTCCTGTTTTTAGTGCGCTCTCCTCCCTTGCTGTTCAAAAGAATTGAATAAGAAGCATGTCCTTGCTCACGCGCTGTTGTTCTTTTTTGCGGAACTCGCTTCCAGTTTTTACCAAGCCACAAACCTGCGCCTCTTCCAGCAGGACTGCTATCTGCCGCATTAATAGGCGAATTTATGGTCGCATGTACCCCGTACATCTCGTCCTTCAAAACGGAGCCACAATACGGATTCGATTCAAAGAGCCGCGTTGTTTGCTGCAGGTGTGATTTTTTTAAGTTTCTGCCTGTCCATCTTTTATTTGCTGTCTGCAGGTTTAAGCTGGTAAATTTGGGGCGACGTGTCAGCTCCCTTTCATACGTTTTGTAGTTCCCTTTTCCTCAGGCCTTGATTTGCTGACTGATTGCATGATTTCACTCCCTCCCTCCACACCCCCGCTTTAGCGTTTGGGT